TACGAAACGGGCTTAGACAGAGACCGCTACGAAACGGGCTTAGACAGAGACCGCTACGAAACGGGCTTAGACAGAGACCGCTACAAGACAGAGACCGCTACGAAAACGGGCTTAGACAGAGACCGCTACGAAACGGGCTTAGAGAGACAGAAACGAGAGAGACAGCTACGAAACGGGCTTAGAGAGAGACAGCTACGAAACGGGCTTAGACAGGGCTTAGACAGCTACGAAAGAGACCACATGAACGGGCTTAGAGAGAGACCGCTAGGGCTTAGAGACAGGGCTTAGACAGAGACCGCTACGAAAACGGGCTTAGAGAGACACAGCTACGAAACGGGCTTAGAGAGACAGTTAAGAAACGTTTAGAGAGAGACAGTTAAGAAACGGGCTTAGAGACAGACGAAACGGGCTTAGAGAGAGACAGCTGAAACGGGCTTAGACAGAGACAGTACGAAACGAAACCGGGGGCTTAGACAGAGACAGTTACGAAACGGGTTTCGAGAGAGACCGGAAACGGGCTTAGAGAGACTCGACCGGGCTTCGAGAGACAGCTACGAAACGGGCTTAGAGAGAGAGAAACCAGAGACCGCTACGAAAACGGGCTTAGGAGACAGTTAAGAAACGGGCTTAGAGACAGTTACGAAACGGGCTTTAGACAGAGACTTTAGACAGAGACTGCTATGAAACGAGACAGAGACTGCTACGAAACGGGCTTAGACAGAGACAGTTAAGAAACAGGCTTAGACAGAGACCGCTACGAAACGGGCTTAGACAGAGACAGTTAAGAAACGGGCTTAGAGAGAGACAGTTAAGAAACGGGCTTAGACAGAGACAGTTAAGAAACGGGCTTAGACAGAGACAGTTACGAAACGGGCTTAGACAGAGACAGTTACGAAACGGGCTTAGACAGAGACCGCTATAAAACGGGCTTAGAGAGAGACAGCTACGAAACGGGCTTAGACAGAGACAGTTAAGAAACGGGCTTAGAGAGAGACAGCTACGAAACGGGCTTAGACAGAGACAGTTACGAAACAGGCTTAGACAGAGACAGCTACGAAAACGGGCTTAGACAGAGACAGCTACGAAAACGGGAAAGTTAAGAAACGGGCTTAGACAGAGAAAACGGGCTTAGAGAGACAGTTACGAAACGGGCTTACAGAAAACGGGCTTAGAGAGAGACAGTTACGAAACGGGCTTAGAGACTACGAAACGGGCTTAGAGAGACCGAAAACGGGCTTAGACAGAGACCGCTACGAAACGGGCTTAGAGAGAGACAGCTACGAAACGGGCTTAGAGAGAGACAGCTACGAAACGGGCTTTAGATAGAGAAAGTTACGAAAACGGGCTTAGACAGAGACCGCTACAGAAAACGGAGAGACTTAGAGAGACCACGCAGAGACAGTTACGAAACGGGCTTAGACAGAGACCGCTACGAAACTTATGAAGACAGCTACGAAACGGCTTAGACAAACGAGACAGTTAAGAAACGGGCTTAGACAGAGACAGTTACGAAACGGGCTTAGAGAGACACATGAAACGGGCTTAGACAGAGACAGTTAAGAAACGGGCTTAAAGAGACAGCTACGAAACGGGCTTAGACAGAGACAGTTACGAAACGGGCTTAGAGAGAGACAGTTACGAAACGGGCTTAGAGAGAGACAGCTACGAAACGGGCTTAGACAGAGACAGTTAAGAAACGGGCTTAGACAGAGACAGTTACGAAACGGGCTTAGAGAGAGACAGTTACGAAACGGGCTTAGAGAGAGACAGCTACGAAACGGGCTTAGACAGAGACAGCTACGAAACGGGCTTAGAGACAGAACCGGGCTTAGAGAGAGACAGTTAAGAAACGGGCTTTAGAGACAGAGAGAGAGACCGCTAGAAACGGGCTTACGAAACCGGGCGGGCTTAGACAGAGACCGCTACAGAAACCGGGACTTATTAGACAGAGACAGTTACGAAACGGGCTTAGACAGAGACCGCTTAGACAGAAACGGGCTTAGACGGACAAAGATTAAAATGACGGAAATAAATAAAATATATTTTGTTTTTTGTCAAAATATTTTACAAGTATCTTAATTGTTGACACTGGTTTTCGTGACCAATGTCCCTTAAGAAAGCTGTCGTCAAGGATTTCTCACTAATAATTCTGTTGAGGTATGTTTTTTCTTGATCTTAAACATCTAATCAAAAGTTTTCATTCTTAGCCACATTTTTGTCATCTCTTTCATATTTGCTCTCTTTCCTTCTCCCCTCATGTTGACGCTCCCCTATTAAATTCTCCCCTTTCACATTTACCTCTCCTTCATATTCATTTGAAAAAGCAATCTTTAGGCGTTAAAATTTAATATATGACCTCTATTCCTCTTCAAATTATTGGCGCTACACATTCATACTAAATTTGCAATGTTTGCTTTTCCAAACTTCCCAAATTCATGTAGTCTGCTATAATTGACTTAGGTCAAATTCCTTGGAAGTAAAATGATGAATTTGTCAGTTAGTGTGAGGCAAATGTGGGTCATGTTATAAGCCTTGCTATACAGGGGCCAGGTGTAGCAGAGGACGAAGAAAAAAAAATGGGGGGTTGAATGCTGACAGAAGCCGAACAAAATTCTCAAAGGACGGCCATTTTGTTCATCTGAAGCTAAATAGGTCACTTCAATTGCATTCATTTCTTTTAGTTATTCGTTTGAAATAAACTCGCGCCGTTTAACAAAACTTCATTCTGTTTCCTTTCTTTCTTTCTTTCTTTCTTTTTGTTCATGTCCCTTTTAATTTTTGTCTTTCTTGCCTTCTTTTTTTTTCTTTCTTTGTCTTCTCTTTCAGTATATTTAATTTCCTTTCTTTCTTTTTCTTTTCTTGCCTTCTTTCTTTACTTTTTCTGCCTTTCCACTTTCTTTCCCTTCTACCTTTCTTTTTTCTTTCTTTCTTTTCTTTCTTTCTTTTTCTTTTTTCTTTCTTTTTCTTTTTTCTTTCTTTTTCTTTCTTTCTTTCTCTTTTTCTTTTTTCTTTCTCTTTTTCTTTTTTCTTTCTCTTTTTCTTTTTTCTTTCTCTTTTTCTTTTTCTTTTCTTTCTCTTTTTCTTTTTCTTTTTCTTTTTTCTTTTTTCTTTTTCTTTTTTCTTTTCTTTTTTCTTTTCTTTTTTCTTTTCTTTTTTCTTTCTCTTCTTTTTTCTTTCTTTTTTTCCCCTCTTTCTGCCTTTCTTTCCTCTTTTCTTTTTTCCCTTTTAAAACATTTGTTTAGAATTCATGACCATTATATTGGTATCAGTTAACGACATTCAGATGCAAAAACTATGGAAATCTCTTGAAAATATTTTGGGGCTTTATATGCCTATTAATATAGCAATCAGTATGTTGCAAATATCCCTTCAAATTTCTCGGAAAACCAAAACGATTGAAGTACATTTTTCCGTTATAATATTTATAATCAACTTTAATTTACGTATTTACCATTTGTTATTCTAAGGAACCCTTTCTTAAATGTTTCCGTATTTGTCTTGAATTAAGTTTCAGCTTTAACAGTGCCTAATGAATTTACCCGTTTAATTATTCGCTATTCATAAATTTTACTTTTTTTTCTTTAATCTCAAAACCATAAGGAACAATTATCTTTCAACTTTGATTTGGTTTAATTTGTTTTACGGCATATCAACCTCAATGGGTTATTTAATACCACCATGACTTTTATTGCTATGAATATTTTTTTCTTTTTTCAAAATGCATTGCTGGTACTAAAACCTATTTTTACACTTTCATAGTGTTTTGACCCCATTTTGGGAATAAACTATTTCCTGGGACCTTAACAGTTGCTACCATCCCGGTTCAGGGTGGACCTGGGAACAACAGCAATTAAGAGATGGTTCCATGTTCCTCAAAACCTCCCGATCAGAGGCCTTGCTGCCGGATGTAGTTTATCGTCTTACCCAGGACGGTTCGGCTTTGAATTTTTTTATTCATATTCTGACCAAAGCAGGACGGGTTGAGTTTTTTTTCTATTTGCGAAGGACATGTACCGTATTTAGGGGAACATAGAACAAAAATCTCCGAAGGGCGTCCAAATGTCTTGGAAATTTTGAATTTTTTTTTTTTTTTTTTTTTTTGCCTGGAATTTGTCATTCTATATGAGAATTAATGAAACATAATCATTAAACTGACTCAATTTGAATTTTAGTAAGATGTGCTCTTCATATACAGTACTATTATAATTGTGTTTGCCCTTCGCTTCGTTATTTCGCACGACTATTACGCCTTGCCAATACCTCATAAATAATGGACCATTCCGTATTGTTCGCGTTGAAAGAGGGGAAAAGACACTTCTTAGTTTCAGTTACAAAATGAAAGAAAGAGAAGTGGTAAGAGAAAGAAGTAGAGAGAGAAAAAGAAAGAAGGGGTGAAAGGGAAAGAAAGAAAGGGTGAGAGAAAAAGAAGTGGAGAGAAAGAGAGAATAATTGACATAATTGCATGAACATTATTCCTTCCGTCCGTCCTTTTCCTCTGTCGACTGCCACTCTATACTACTTGCAGATCATCATTTATGCTATAAATACTAACATACAAATGGGATGGGAGGGGTATGACCAGTGGGATGGGAGGGGCACGACAGGTTTCATTTTACCAGGCTGTTCGAATTCTGAAGGAAAATACACCGTGATCTCAAAGATCAGAGTAGCGATGGTGACGACGATAAAACGCGCCATTTTTCGAACGACGAAAACCGGGAAAGGCAATCGCCAAAAATCCAGTTACCATAAATAAAATTTACATCGTCCGCTGAATTATTTTAAAATTATTAAGATAAATGTTCGTAAGACATGAATTTAGCTGGTCATTACATTATTTCTGATTTTGTTAAAATGAGAGGGACGTTGGTGCGCGTGTTTCATTTGCGTTTCATTCCGGGGAGGCGCGGTAGAGTAATGGATAGCAGCTTGGATTGAGGAATCGGAGAGCCGAGTTCGAATTTCAGTTGAATCCATTACATTTACTTACGTGCTAATAATCTTGAAAAGGGTATGAATCCTCTTCTTCTCCCCCCAGCTATGGGTAAATAGTAGGACAGACCTGGTTCTATAGCCTTGAGTGGCAACTGGTCTACCGCAGAAAGAAATGGCAACCTACTGCAGGAAAAGAATCTGCCTCGTCAGTCATGTATCGAAAGATGCATGATCGCCTAAGCGTGTATCATGCATAGCACATAACTGACTTTGTTTCCTTTCAAGTAAGCAGAAAACTTGTTGCATTTTAACATTGTTTCTTTATACAGATGTTTGGCAGAATCTGTCTATTTCTGAGATGAGGTATTATGTACACTATTTACATTATTCGGACTATTGTCCTCATCTTTGCCGCCATATTTATCACAACGTATCGGCCGTTGTACGCTCCGGCCTTCTTCAGGTGGTTGGAATGTCGAACTGAACCCTTTATTTCGCTCACTGGGGTAGACTGTTCTAGTTCCACATGACATGTTTAATGGACGTCAGTTATCAGTTATCTCCTGTTAATTCCCTTCTCCAAGTTCTCCACCGCCTTAACCAGGTATTGAACTCACACTCTTTGGGTCCTGTCACTGTAAATGTTTGACAGAATAACAGAAAGACTTTGGTTTACTTTTGCTAGTCTGGCAATTTGTTTTATCCTTGTATAAACTGCTTGGTTGAAACAGTGTGCTCTTTAAGTGTTTATTGCTCTGATTTTGAATAGCAAACCATAATCTTCAAGCAATATATAACCTTCATCGAGAAAGACAACAAGACAAGCTTTTAAAGACAGAATTGGATTTTTTTTTCCAGTTATCAACACTGACGATAAATTAAGCGATTAATGTCGTCTGCTATTTGGTTGATATCTCGACTTTCAGCACGTTAGAGATTTAGTAATTTTACAACTTTGTCGGGGAATTATCTTGAAAAGAGTATCTGATGCGCCATTATTTTGAAGGGAAATTTTTGGGGGACTACGTACGTATTTGAAATATTTTTTTATTGAAAAAAAATTCAATCTGATACTTTAAAAATAAGTATGCATTGTTCGAAAGACAAAGAGCTCATTAGATCAAAATACGACGCTAGCGTTGTATAGATACAAACGGCTATCCTCTCCCTTATGGTTGGGATAGTCCCAAAGGTCACATGATGACCGGCGAGTGACGTCAGGGGAGTTGCTCCCTAGTTTACAGCTATAGGGCTTACAGAAAAAAAAGACATGGCCTAAGCAGATTCATAGAGAAAAATGCCGTAACTCCAGTTTTCCCTTTGGGAAATGTTACAACTAATACAGCCTTTTTAACACGCCGTTTGTTGTTGCATATATGTTATAATTTCTCTGCGTGGGACATATGTATATATCTAACTTTGTGTACGACGTAGCATTATAAAACTCTATCTGAGAACAAGGTTATTCCTTTTGCTTTCAGCCTTTTCGTTCCGTCTGTGGACAACGGTATTATTATATCATGGATATAATAATGCCAATAATAGGGGAAATTTAAATGGCTTATAGGAAACGAAATAAATTCTACTGAAAAGGATGTGAAAATTCGCATACCTAAAACCTGGTGGGCCTTGAATAAATTGGAAATCTGATCTACCAGACAACCTCAAGCGGAGATTCTTTTGAGCCTCTGTAGAGGCGGTGTTAATTGTGGTGCCACTGCTTTGGACATTAACTAAAAGCCAAGAGTCTAAGCTTGATGGAACCTATATTCGGATGCTAAGAGCTATACTTAACATCTCTTGGTGACAACATCCAACTAAATCACAACTCATCCCTGATATTTCTACAATCTTAAACCCTAGCGTCTAAGGACGATCGAACCTAAACTCGGATGCTGAGAGATGTACTTAACATCTCTTGGAGACAATATCCAGCTAAATCACAGCTCTATGGGTACAACCCTTATATTTCTGCAAACTTACGCGAACGCAGAATACGATGTGCAGGACAAAGCTAGCGAGCAAACCAAGAACTTGTGAGTAATCTACTGATCTGGACACCAGCCATTGAGTTAGACGGGTTGGTCGCCCAGCAACCACCTACATTGACCAGCTATATCATGACACAGAATGCCACGCGAATGACCTTCCGACCTTAATGCAGGACGGTGATGATTGGTGTAATAGACTCGTGAATGTCCGAACTAGCTCGTCCGAAAAAAAAAATCAGTAGTTCTCAACCGGGGGTCATATGAACCGTGCGTGTGGGCGGGGGTAGTACATGTGACATTACTGGGGTCTACACAAAAAACAAGCAAATTGTGGGGCAACGGAAAAATTTTAGTGACCCATAGAGCAAATATCTCCTCGGAACGGTAAATTGAAATTTTTATAGTAATCTTCTGCACTGTATTAAAATTCTAAAAATAACAAAAGAAACTCTAAAACGAACAGAAATAAAATCAAGTGATTCAAGTTAGCGTCTCTTTTACTATACCGGATATTTTGATTTTAAAAGTTGAAAGATAGAAAAGAACAATGAGCTTGAGTAAATAGGAGGCGGAATTTATTAAGAGCTACAAAGATCAGGTAATTGTGGAGAGTCATGATCACCAACGTCCTGAAGGGACACGGCACATAGAAGAAGAAGAAGAAGAATGACTTTGAGTAAATGGATGGTTGAACAAGGTTTAAGAGAGATAACAAAAAGATAAAATTTATTAAAGGCTACAAAGATCAGGTAATTGTGGAGAGTCATGATCACCAACGTCCTGAAGGAACACGGCACATAGAAGAAGAAGAAGAAGAAGAATGACTTTGAGTAAATGGATGGTTGAACAAGGTTTAAGAGAGATAACAAAAAGATAAAATTTATTAAAGGGTACAAAGGGCAGGAAATGGTGGAGAGCTATGATCACCAACGTCCTGAAGGAACACGGCACATAGAAGAAGAAGAAGAATGACTTTGAGTAAATGGATGGTTGAACAAGGTTTAAGAGAGATAACAAAAAGATAAAATTTATTAAAGGCTACAAAGGGCAGGAAATGGTGGAGAGCTATGATCACCAACGTCCTGAAGGGACACGGCACATAGAAGAAGAAGAATGAGCTTGAGTAAATGGATGGCGGAACAAGGTTTAGGAGAGATAACAGAGACAACATTTATTAAAAGCTACAAAAGCCATGATCGCCAATGTCCTGCAGGGACGCGGCATATAGAAGTCAGTTGGGTTGTTAAGTGAGGAATGGTTGTACTTGAATTCCTCGCTGTAAAAGCAATGGTTAGAAAATCCTTTGCAGACGATTACAACTGCAGTGAATTCAATCCTCACCGGGCCTTCCAGATTCGTTATTAGAAGTCATTTCCTAAATTTGGCTTAAACATGGTAAATTTAGTCTGCCAGACGAACGTTAACCATCACGCTACAGTAGCCCCTTCCTTAATTCCATATACCTACCCCTAAATTCTCTTGCCTAAATTTATAGAGCTATTTCTCTTCAGCTTTCTTTGATTCCTCTAAGTTGAAATAGTTCCTTAATCTGGAGACTTATTTAAAGAGAATTACCACTTTCCCCAAACCTTTCTCTCTTGGGTTTTACCCGTCCCCCTTTTCTATTTACTTCGTATCTTTGAACCTTTGATAAATTTTGCCCTATTTCTCCCCTGAGATGTCTTATAATTTATTAAAATTGATTCATGAATAAATATTTACTTTCTTAAATTCTTTCTTCGCCCCGATTTGTGCTTTTTTTTTTTTTTTAATATGCAAGGCAGTTAATACGGGAAAGATGAAGTCTTTTCTTTGCTGTCCGCAGATTAATTTTTTTTTTCCTCGATTTAAATTGAACGATAGGCAAAACATGTTCCTGAAAACGAAAGAAAATTGCCTTTTATGGTTATATTATCTCTGGCTCAACTGGTAAGCACGCGTATTTTCCGTTACTAAATAACCATGGTTCGAAAATTCTGCTTTGCCTTAAGGACACTTTTGTTTTTTCTTTGTGAGAGAGATGGTGATATTTTTTTATGTTAAATATTCGTGTTTAGTTTGTATCTATTATTATATACTTTATTTTATTCATTTTCCTTTCTTTCTTTCTTTTCTTTGTCTCTTCTTTCCCTCATTTTTTACTCTTTCTTTTTTAATTTCGTTTTCTTTTTTCCCTTGTTTGATTATTTTCTCTTTAGCTATTTCTTCTCCCTCATCTTTCTTTCAACTTCAGTTTCTTTTTTCGCTTTCTTTTTTTTTCTTTCTCGCATCCAACTCTTCTCATCACTGTTATTTTCTTCTCTTTCCTTCCGTTGTCGTTTGTTTCTCGTTCTCAATCTATCTGTCTTTCTCTCTGTGATTTTCTTTCCGTCTGCCGTCTCTCTCTCTCTCTCTCTCTCTCTGTCTCTCTCTCTCTCTGTGACCTTCCCTTCTGCCAGCTCTTTCACCCTCTCTATTTCTCTTTCTGTGCTCTTCTTTCCATTCGCCGTCGTCTTTCTCTCTTCTCTCTTTCTCTCTCTCCCTGCTGTTTCTCTCTCTCTCTGTGCCGTCTCTCTTTATCTCTCTCTCTCTCCCTCCCTGTCGTCTCTCTTTATCTCTCTCTCTCCCCGTCGTCTCTCTTTCTCCCCGTCGTCTCTCTCTCTCTCTCTCTCCCTCCCTGCCGTCTCTCTTTCTCTCTCTCTCCCTCCCTGTCGTCTCTCCCTTCCCTGTCGTCTCTCTCTCTCTCCCCCTCCCCTGTCGTCTCTCTTTCTCTCTCTCTCCCTGCCGTCTCTCTTTCTCTCTCTTTCTCTCTCTCCTGCCGTCTCTTTTCTCTCTCTCTCCCTGCCGTCTCTCTTTCTCTCTCTCTCTTTCTCTCTCTCTCTCCCTGCCGTCTCTCTTTCTCTCTCTCCCTCCCTGTCGTCTCTCTTTCTCTTTATCTCTCTGTGATTTTTTCGTTTGCCATCTCTCTTTCTATCTGTGCTTTTCTCTCTATCTATCATTCTCTCTCATATACATACATATATCTTGATCTATACATATTTATCTATCTATATCTTTCTATTTATCGATTAATTGGTCTATCTATCTATATCTAGATATACTAGCCGAGGTACTCGGCGTTGCCCGGGTGTACATAACTGCAATTATATAACTACACCCCCTGTCTAGCAATATCTGCCCTCCCGCTTGCATACATCGTCCGTTGGTATAATAAGCTATCCACCTCATCTTTTTTACGGTATGATTTTCGGCAGTGGTTTATTGTTCTTAATAAGGGAATTCTGGTCGTTACTCGAGGTTAGATTGTTTCAATGTTTTAGATATTCAGTAAATTTCCTATGGCCGACTTTCAAATAGTATGGCATTGTTCACAAATCTAATAATCAAACAAAAACAGGGATGAAACGTCAGAGCTTGATTCAACTGTAAGTGCAAACGCATGGACGCCCCCTCCTTCTTAGCACGTTTACTGTAAAGCTGGGATTAATAAGAGGTTCTTCAGGAATTTTTCCCTTCAAACTTTGCATCAAAGGTTGCTCCAATGCCAATTTAGGATGGAGTCATATGAAGAAACTATTGGCTAAATGGCAAATGCCGATGTTGGAACTAGTCTGTCACAGATTTTGCCCACTTAACTGAAATAATCTAAACCAAACATTCACGCAAGACAATTTGTGTGTCATATGTAAATTAAATGGCAAATTTGGAAAACATCGGATGAAAACCCAGGGAATTATGGCCAAAAAACGGGCTTTTTTAACAGTTTTTCGTTATACGCAGGGAAGCGAGCAGGACTAAAACCACACTGTCTTATTTCTTGTATGATGGCAAGTTTTGTGATATGTCTGAACAAAATCTGATAAAAAATGAGGAAGTTTATTCAAGTTTTTATTTTAAGTAGTACGAAAATGTTTTTTTGTCGCAGCAAAAGTATCAAGCACTCTACATAAACCTCGTAACATGAGCTGATGTTTGGCATTAAGTGCAAAGAACATCAGTTCATCCAGTAAAAAATTTGTTCGCGTGTAACTCTGCCTTGGTTTTTGCTAAAAGTTGTACCCACCTTCATTTTTATCGATTTTTCTGCCAAACCCGGGGAGTGGGGCTCGAGATTGAAACATTGGTCTTGACCTAATTTCATAAATTTGGAACGGGTGTGTACAATTTCATCGAAATTGACCGAAAAATGTGGACATGCATAAATAGCATATACACACACACACACACACACACACACACACACACACACATCTATTATATCTTCAAATGAGAGAAATAACAGATTTAGTAAAATTCCACTGTTCGTAGCATTTACTTTTTTAAAAAAGTGCTCATTATAAAGTAGTACATTATTATTATTATTATTATATTATTATAAAGATTATAATGAAAACATTGAAATCGGTACACAAAAGCTTTCATGTTTCAAAACTTTGTATTTCTTCAAGCGATGGTAAAGAGTTACTTTCCATCGCCTGAAGAAGTGCAGCGATTTCAATATGTTTTCATTATCATCTTTTTATTTTTTATAATCTCTTAATATATATATATATATATATATATATATATATATATATATATATATATATATATATTATATACAGTGTAACCCGGATATAAGAGAGATTTTTCTCTGGTCCCCTAGTGTTGGGTAGCCTGTGTTAATGTCTATATAATAGACCAAACCCGGATATAAGACTATTCTCCGGTCCCCATATAAATCTCTTATATCCAGTTTTTTTATATATATATATATATATATATATATATATATATATATATATATATTATATTATATTATATATATATATATATATATATATATATATATATATATATATATATATATTATATATATATTATATATATATTATATATATTATATTATATTATATATATAATCAAGAACAATTTTCTGTGAAAACTGACAAAGTAGAAATGTTTTTTGTGTACCACCTTGTGCCCTATACCGGATTATTTCATTAGAGGTTTTCTGTTCTCAACTAAATTAATAAAAACCTGACGTCTCATCATTATTCAGTACTATATAACATTTACTAATTATTTTTATAAACAAACATTTCGATTATCAATGGGAATGTCTCTAAGTGGGGTACTGACATGAATTTCTAGAATTTGGTCCTCTCCAAAATATTTTATCTACACAATCAATATATCGAAGATATATTGATGATGCTAATTAATATACCCTCGCGAAATTACTTTACCTGACCTTGTAAATAAACTAAACAAAGTTGTATTTACTTATGAAATAGAAACAAACTATACTTTAACTTTCTTAACGATGATGTTGCAATAATGACAATAGCTTAAAACTAAGTGTCCATCACAAATCAACTAATAAAAATGATTTCATAAATTTCTATTCTCATCATAACAACAAAATAAACTGTGGAACAATCATCAATACTGAACAAAAAGCTCGTAAAATATTTCAAAATAGAAAATGGACCATTTTTGGACAAACCCAACAAATCAAACATTATTCTACCTACTAACTCTGTCACAACTACAATTGAAAAGAATTTACCTACGGTTAACATAAAATTTGTTACAACTAATTCTAAAGACTTAATTAATGCAAAACAAAATAATAATAAGCTAAAACTTGAAGGAGGAATTTACTATATTGTAATAATTGCCACAAAGAATCCATAGGAGAAACCTCAGGATATGTAAATAAACAATTACATGAACTCAAAAAGAATATTTTACAAAACAACGCTTACAATACGTTAGTGGATTGCTGCAAAAAATCGTTCATAAATTTAATTTAAAAATTGCTACTTTAATTATAATTTTGATTACCAATGTGTTCGCGTAGATCTTAGAATTTCCTGAATCTGGCTCTTTCCAGAGTATTTTACCTAAACAATCAACATATTTCCGATATATTGATTACATTATTTTTAATCGCGTTTACCCCCAAAGAAGGCAATAAAGCCACCGCGATGCAAGTAATTACTGAGTGTGGAAGTGTTAGAAACAAATATTGCTATGGAGGGAGAACTGAGGACAAGTAATCAGGACAACAGATAGCGATTGACATTGTAGTTAAATTTTTGCAGATTAAAGTTGGCTGGAACGCATAGAACCGGAAGAATGTTCCTCGAAACAATCGAATTTCTGATTTCATATGTAAATTCTATCGTATGTTCGACTTTGCAAACAATTTACTTTAGATATAATTACTCCCCTGCAAAAAAACAACAACACTGACTATAATATTGCAAGTGATAAATATTATTTTTACTAACACACAAGCACAGATATAAAACCCATGCTCGCATCTATTCAAAGAATATTCTAAAATGGAAAGAAAAGATATATCAATCTTATAGACTTTTCGTCAGGATTCTTTTCCTATAGAAATAATTTTAAAGAATAGGGTTTAAAAAGAATAGGGATAAAGTTTTTTTTATTTATTTATTTGATTATTTTTTCGTTTTTTTTTTTTTTGTTTTTTGTTTTTTTACTGACCGGGTGGGATGTCAGTCGAAACAAGATAAGCAATTCTATACTGCGGCTAATTATTCCATTGTGTTGTCAGAGACTGGCACGCACGGAAAGTCGCCAGGGGATGGGTGTGGCAGGTTGCTGTAAGAAAAACAAACGGACAGTACTTCGCCATCATTTCTCTACACTCCATACCGTTATATATATATATATATATATATATATATATATATATATATATATATATATATATTTTAGTTTTTATTTTTTTTATTTTATATTTATGTTTTTATTTATTTGGTAAGACAGAATGACTGCATTGTTTCTCTGTATTCTAACATAACTGAACTTTCACTCCAACAGTATGTCGTAGCTCTCAGTCCCTTTACAGTTTCGTCTATCGTCCGGTTCACACTCCTCCCCATTCTTTTGAACAGGAGGTTTATACCGTGTTTCCTATTTAGGATTGGATTTCCGGTTCCTTCTAAAGTTTTCCCAAGAGTCTCTTGCGTCTTAGTGGTATTCTCGCCTTGCTTGCGGTGAATTGATTAAACAAAAAGTACAAGGTGGTGAGAAAGTGGGCAAATTTTAATGTTCGAAAGCGGAGTCATATCTCTCCCTATTGAGGATTAATAAAAAATAAATAGTAATTTAAGGGTTAGTTATGTGCCATGTGTGATACACGATTAGTCGATACTGTATCTGACGAGGCAGATTTTTTTGCCCGCAGTAGGTTGCCATTTCTTTGTGCAATAGACCAGTTGCCACCCAAGGCTATAGAAGCCATATTCGAAGGGTATTAGCATGTAAATGAATGTAATGGGTTCGACTGGAATTCGAACTCGTCTCTCCGATTCCTCAATCCGAGCCGCTATCCATTACCCCACCGTGCCTCCCATACTAACGTACCGGTCCGAAAAGTCGTGTGTGTGTGTGTGTGTGTGTGTGTGTGTGTGTGTGTGTGTGTGTGTCTTAGATTTAATGATTTTCATTGGTTTTATGTCTGAACTTGTGCACAAAATACTGCTGTAAAATTTTAAGCAAGTAATCATCTGGGGTTCAGGAACGAATTAATCCATTTGACATTAATTCCTATGGGGAAAATAGTTTCGGTTCACGAACATGGAATAAAGTGCTCATTATCAGGGATAGAACATATGTAAATATAAGAATGAACATTGATCTCAACACTCAGAGGCGACAGACTGTTTCATGCTAGACGCAATCATCAGGCCACATGTGTTGGGCTTTTTTCTCGAGAAAAAAACAACACGTGGCCTGATGATTGCGTCGAATATGAAACAGTATGTCGCTTTTAAGTGTGGACTTCAATGTTCACTTTTATATATCTTACGGTAAAAAAAGAAACAAAATTACCTCAGCGTGAGAATAGTCAATTTCTGGCAGTTCTGAACCCAGTCGTCCGCAGCTCTGAAGGGTTTGTCTGGAAGGGAGTGATTAGAATTTATTTTGAATATCAGTGCCCCTTATAATAAAGACATTGATTATTCTGTGGATCAGTTTTAATATTTATTATTACTAGGATCCACCTGGATTATTTGCCAACGGACCTATTACCTGTAGCATATATATATATACTCTTAAGGTGTGCTGTATT